CTCTCTCACTGTCTAACTCTGCCTGTCAAAAAAAAAAAAAAAGTGAGATTGATGGGGCTGGCATTGTGGCACAGTGGGTTTAGCCAACATCAGCATCCCACATGAATATTGTTTCAAGTCCTGGTTGCTGCACTTCAGATCCAGCTCTGTGCGAATTCACCTGGGAAAGCAGCAGAAGACAGCTCAAATACTTGGGCCACTGCCACCCATGTGGGAGAACAGGATGAAGCTTCTGGCTTCTGGCTTTGGCCTGGCCTAGCCTCAGCTGTTGTGGCCGTTTGGGGGACTGATGTAACGGACTGAAGATTTGTCTTTCTCTGTCTCTCCATCTCTATCTGAAACTCTGCCTTTCAAATGAATAAATAAATCTTAAAAAAAAAAGAAATACAAGTGAGTTTGAAAAATAATGTTTGTTCTAACAGAAAAATTGGAAAGTGTCAATAGATAATTCTCTTCCCAAAGGTAGCTTTCCAATGATAAACTGTTCAAACTTACTAATAATTAGAGACATGTAAATTAAGACATTACAAGGAAATGAACAAAAATGAGGCAGACAATAATAAATGTGTTGGTAAAGCTCTGGGGAAACTGATACTTTCATATGTTGCTAGTAGGAATCCTAATTCATATAAGCCTTCTGGAGGGAACTTCAGTCATATTTAACCAAACCACCTAAATGTTTACTTTTTGACCCAGCTTTCCCATTTCTAGGAGTCTATCTTGAAGGCCTATCCCCAATATGAAAATACTACACACAATTTTTTTATTGCAACATTGTTTATAATAGCAGAATACTGGAAACAACCTAAAGGCCACTATCAGGGAGAAGTGTGTGCATTTGTGCAAAAGAAACACAGAAAAATGAACAAATTAAAAAACCTGGTTACTTATAGACAATGCTTAGGAAAGAAATGGAAAGAAAGATGGAATGGGGACTGGCCAGATAATGAGGGAGGAATATTTATTGGCGTGTATTTTATTTTATTTTATTTTTGCAAAACACCATAGCAATGGTTTGCACTTTCAAATAATAAATAAATAAAGTTGTGTATTCTTAATGAAATAGTTAAAACGCAACAAGGATGGAATGCAGTAAAAAACTGGATTACAAATGAATAATTTGTTACACTGAAGATGATAGGCAAATAAAGAACTAACCAAAAACCCTTTGGAAAATACTATTTTGGTTGGATTCTGTAAAGCTAAAGACCCCAACAACCGCATATAACTCTAGTAAAAAAATTGTCTCTCAAGAATATTCATTATCAATGATATATATATATATATATATAAATTGAGTAAACTGAATAGAATTAATCTTGGAACATCTGCACTGCTGCTTTGTGTTAAACTACAGGAGCAGCCAGGACTAGAACCGGTGCCCATATGGGATGCCGATGCTTCAGGCCAGGGCTTTAACCCGTTGCGCCAAAGTGCCAGCACCTGTAGTTTAACACAAAGCAGCCAGCACAGCAGCTCACTAGGCTAATCCTCCTCTTTGCGGCGCCGGCACACGGGGTTCTAGTCCCAGTCGGGGCGCCGGATTCTGTCCCGGTTGCCCCTCTTCCAGGCCAGCTCTCTGCTGTGGCCAGGGAGTGCAGTGGAGGATGGCCCAAGTCCTTGGGCCCTGCACCCCATGGGAGACCAGGATAAGTACCTGGCTCCTGCCATCGGATCAGCGCGGTGCACCGGCTGCAGCGTGACGGCCACTGGAGGGTGAACCAACGGCAAAGGAAGACCTTTCTCTCTCTCTCTCTCTCTCTCTCACTGTCCACTCTGCCTGATAAAATAAAAAAAAAAAAACACAAAGCAGCAGTGCAGATGTTCCAAGATTTATATATTGCATACTGGTGATATGGTTATTAATGTAGAAAAGAGACTGAAAAGTACACCTGAACTCCCTTGATTATTTGGCAACTTCTCTTTAAGTAAAAACTTATGTAAAAATAGAAAGTTTGAGGAAGAAGCAACCGAAGGACAACAATAACAACTGAAAAATGAACAAGAGGAAGAAGTTAAAAACACACTTTATTATCTTTTTGAAAACAAAAGTCATTTGGTTCGTATATCACTAATAAAGTAAGGTAGCAGCAGGTGGCTGTTTTGTCACATTATCTAAAAACATCAGTATTGCTGCCTGTACTGATCAGAGCTGAAGGTCTTTCTAAGATATGAGTTGCAGCCACGATTGCTACCTTGCAGAGTCAATGGGCTGTAAGCATAACATAGAACCCATATACCATGTTAGATATCATACTGGTTTCAATGTTTTAAGTGTTGGTTTGTAAAAGTAAAGTTACTTTCCATTCAAGAGACATTTTGCTATTAATGTGCTTATCAAAAATTTGGAAAATGGCAAAATCCTGAATATGTTATTACTGATTCAGTGTAGGCTTCCAAGCAGATAAATACACTGATTAATTGTACAGTTGATGCCAAGAGTTAACAGTTTCCTGTATTAAATAAGAACAGAAAATATTGTAGCTAAGCCACTGTTTAAAAATCTCAGAACTCCTTCAAATTACTGTTAATTCCTACAAATTGTGAGTAAATAACTCCCTTTAAAAAAGAAAACAAAATCGAGGTAGTAAAGAATTTAACAAAATCACTCATCATCATGTACCAGACTTTCCATTCCTTCTGGAAGGTCCTAAATTATTTCATTTTGACAACTCACTCGTGAGTCATTTGCTAGAATTGGTCCAAGGTGTCTAAGTCATTAGAAAGCAGAATGACTAACTTTAAGAATTCAGTTAGAGTCATACAACCCATTATTTATTTATTTGAAAGGCAAAGGGATAGAAAGCAGGGAGAGAGGGAGAGGGAAAAAGAGAAGGAGAGACAGAGAGAGTGAGAGTGAGAGTGAGAGTGAGAATGAGAGAGAGAGAGAGAGCGAGCCAGTTTTCCATCTGCTGGGTCACACCCCCAAATGTCCCCATCGGTGAGAGCTGGGCCAGGCTGAAGTGGAGACCACAGGAGCCCGGAACACAACCCAGGTCTTAAGTATTTCAGCCAACACTGGCTACCTCACAGGGTATGAATTAACAGGAAGCTGGAATAAAAACTGGAGCTGTGACTTGAGCCCAAGCACTCAAATATTGTATGCAGACATCCCAGGTAGTATATTAACCCCGTGCCAAATGCCCACACTAACACAAATCAATATTTGGTCACTAAAATAATAATGCATTTTAAAATTTAAAATACAAATATTATTGTGAGTAAAAATTTAATTTTGGCTTAGAGGATGATTATAGAAAGCAGAAATTTTTGATTTGCTCAAATTAAAACATTTCATTTTCCTTAGCTCCCTATGCTCCTGGCTACTACATTTTCTATTCGTTTTGTCTTGTTTTTGAATGTTTTCGTACTTGTAAAAATGAATTCTTTTAAAAAACTGCTCAAGATACTTTAGGAAGACTGAGTTATGTGCCTAAATGTGTAAGAGGATAACAATCACATGGAGTATTGCTTAGTACACTAAAGTGCTGAAAAAGGTAAGAAACTTCAAAAAAAGTCTAGATAATAAAATTATATTGATCATTTTTTACCTACTTTGATCACATGCCAATAAGATGAGGGGGGGTCTTTAAAATGTTTACAAGAAACACATATTGTGAAAAATGCATGAATTTCAAGAATTTTTGGTGCCAATACAAACCTTTCCTTTAATTCAATTTCCCACAAATATTTTGACATATACAGTAAGACTATTTTGCATTAAAATGTTACATGCTTTTTTGGTGTAATCTGAACTTTTGAAAGTTTAGTAACAAAAATTTCTGAATGTAATCCCTCAGTTTGTTTTTCTCAAGCACTGGGATGACCCACTTTTCCTGAGATGAATGTACCCGTTCATTGGAAAAGCTGCAGCAGCCACGTAAGGAGTCAGCAGGCCCTCTGCAAATTAATTATGACTGAGTCGACTTTCCTGCCCTGCCTTCTAAGAGTTTACAGTCCTGTTGAGAAGTCAGAAGATTCACACTTCAGTGTTTCTGATAATCAAATAATACAGTTTCTGTGTTGGATCTTAGTGGTCTAACACTTAGAACTCAGGGAAATTGGTAATAGTATTAGGCTCTTTAAATAACTTACAGGTGTTTCACCCCACTGAGTCCCTGCAACAGCATTGCCAGGTGGGACCAGAGGCTCATTGCAACTATGGAAGTTGATGCTTCAGAAAGCAGGCATGTTTTTGGATCATGTATGGACCTGTTCATACATGAACTGAAGCTCCCTTGAGGGGACCAGGGTCTTATCCTATTTCTTTTCTAGTTTTCAAGCAAGAGCACTTCTCTCAGAGTAAAGCAACAGCCCTAGGCCTTCAGTTCTGGAGAAGGAGAGCACTACTGGAAAACTCTGTCTTCTGCTGCAGCACCAGGGACTATTTTTAGATGTTTTCCTTTTGCTAATTGTCTATCCTTCCATTGGGAATTTCGATGGGTACATCCCCAGATGAGCCAAGTTTCTCACTAATTCCCAGAGGCTGAAAAGATGAAGGGTGCATGGCTCAGGTGGCCTTGGGGCCTCAGAACTTCCCCAGTGATGACAATGTGGTGACTTCAGCAAAATCTTTACGGACTTTGGTGAGCCCACTGAACAGCCGGACTGAGCAGGGACTAGAAGAGGCCTCGGCATGTCTTTCTGAGCCGGGAGACCACCCCAGATGGCTTTTCCTGGAGCTGAGTTCTGAAATGGGCTTCTGAGGGTGTGGAACCAGGGGTGGCTGTGGGCACAAGAAATCCTCCTCATGTCTTGGTTTTCTTCCATGCCCTTTAAAAGGAGACTTCTTCCAGACAGCTCCAACCTGCACTTCAACCTTGGGGTGACATGAGAGGAACTTAGAGGGTTTAGCCTAGAGAAAAGAGGGAAGGGGAGATGAGAACCCTTTTTACTCCCTTACCAGTTAGTGGGAGGAAATCTCGAGACAGTGATGTAAAGGTGAAAGCAGTGTTTGGTTCAGGGTCAGGGTAAACCTTCTAACAAGCTTTGTGCAGTGAGCCCCCCAGGAAGCTGCTGAGGTCTCTGTGTTACCTGGACCATTCCATCAGAAATTTGGATACCTGTATGGATGCTATCATTCATCAGAAAGTGAAAGTGGCCCAAACCCTACATATAGGTCAGGGCTAAATAATTGCTAACATTATTATAGCACTTACTTTATAGTAAGTGTTCTCTTAATCCTTAAAAAAGGCTGGATGAGGTAGATGCTATCGTAACTAATTTTTTAACGTGAAGAAACGGAGGCACAGAGAAGTTGAGTAACTTGTTCAAAGTCACCCAGAAGTAGGAATTTGAACTCGTCTCCAGCGTCTGTACTCTGAACACCCTGTATTGCTGCTGTGTCTGCTTAGATCACTTGTCCCATGAGATGCCTTCAGCTGATGCCCTATTCCGTGGCTCCACATCCTGTGTGTGCTTCCTCCACCTCCCTTCCCAAAGGGCACTGTTGGCCTTTGGAAATGGGTGGGTGGTGGTGAGGGGAGCCCACGGTGTTGATATTGGGGATGGGGTAAGAAATCGAGACCCGTAAGCCTAGAGAGAAGCTCCTTGGTCATTGGCGCCAGCTGGCAAAGGCTGAGCCTACTAAAGCCCACCGCTGCTGCTGCCTGATTTCTGGCCTTGCCTGCCTCGCCCTCTTCGAGGTCTGGCGTTCGCTTCCGGCCTCACCTATGCTAAGCTCTTCCAGGAGACTGGAAGGCACGAGGACAAGTGATCACGAAGCTGCCAATCCTCATTTCCACACCCTCCTCCACGCACAGAGGTACTGAGACACCTAGGGTGGTAAGTGACTAACCCAAGGTCATACAGCCCCAGCTGGGAAGACCAGATGTCCGGACTCTCCCTCCTCACGTTCCTAGGCACACTTTCCCTCTCCTCGCCTGCAGCCCAGAGCTTTCCTTATTGCACATCCCGCCTCCCTACCCAGCCCCCGGTTCCCGGGAGTCGCTTCTGACGCTCATCAGCCTCCAGGGTCCAGCGCTTCCTGCTGGCGCTTCCCTTCCGCCGGATTCCCAAGCCGGAGTCGCCCCAGCTCCGAGCGCAGCCCTCAGGAGCGCTGCCTTCCGGGCTGGCCCGGCCGCCCGCCCTGACCACGCGGCGGCCCCCTCCGTGCCCCGCAGCCCGGGACGGCGGGACGCTGAGGCAGCCGGGCGAGCCGGCTTCCCCACTCGTCGCCGAGGGGCTGCCCCAAGCCCCGGGTCCAGAAGGGCAGGGCCGGCTCGGGACCCTGTTCTCGTCCCTCCTCCGGACGCCGGGACCCCCTAACCCCTGTGACGTCCTCCGCGTCGTCCGTCCCCTCACCCGCCCGCCGACCAGCCGCCTCCTTCGGAAAGTCCCAAAGTGTCACGTTCGAGCCCACAGAGGTGGGGCGCGGCCTCTGGCTCCCGGGAGGGCTGCCCCCAGCGGAGCGAAGTGCTTCCTCCTCTGCGCCCGCCATCCGGCCGCGGCGCCCGCCGCGCTGGCTGCTCGCGCCGGGGCCCTGGGCGACCCATGTGCGCCCTACCCTCCGCCTGGGACGCGCGCACCATGGACTCGCGACCCGGCTTCCGAAGGGAGGCCGCCTCTTGGTTGGACAATTAGCGCAGGTGGGCGGGGAGTCGAGGAACCCCACGGGCGCGCTTCTCCATGAAGATTCTTAGGCTTTCTCTGAAGAAAGGAGTGCATATGCTGCAGTGCCTCTGTGGAAGGAGCCTCAGGTCCAGCCACAGCCCGAGCGGTGAGCAGGCGTCCCTCCCCAGCCCCCACGCGCCCAAGGCCCCCGGCCTGCTCCTGGCCCTTCTCCCCGCCCCCTCGCCCTCTTACTCAGCGCGCCGGGTGGCGGAAGGGAGGCGGTTCCCCACTGGGCGAGGGGTGGCCCGCCGCCCGTTCTGCCTTGGGGTGCTTGTTTCCTTTCTTCATCGTAAACCGCGGCCGTCACTTGAGCTCCGCGGAACGCGTTAGCAGTCGCCGAGCGCTGACCCGTACCCGGGTCTCCCCTCTGAGAGGGCGCCTGACGCGACCTGCTTTCCACTTTCGCCGCGCTCCCTTTGTGCCTGGCGAGGGCAGCGCGCGACGTGGAGTTGTTCAGTGTCCCCTCCGAGAAGTTGCGGGTATGTCTGACAGGAGAGGGGACTTTGAAAACAGGTGGTCGGCGAGGCAGGTGTCTTCTGTTTCTTGCTTTGTCCGAAAAGTAGACATCTGGTGGTGGTCTGGGGTGCGTTTTCCCCAGGGAGCCTGTGACTTCTGTCCTTGGTGCTGAAGCGGGAGAGTCCCAATTAGCCCTGGGTTTAAGCAACTGAGTCCCTCAGGAGAGGCCCAGGAGAGGAAGGAAAGAAAATCAGACCTTTGCATGACCTGCGATATTGAGAAAAACCGTTTAAAATTTTTAAATGCAGAGACCGCCCAACTAAAATCATAAAGGGATGGTTCTTTTCTCCTCCTGAAGCCTTGTTTGCTGGGGTGTTTTCACTGCATTTTCCACCATTGTTCATCTTTTTTTTTTTTTTTTTTTAAGGACTAAGTTCTCTTTAAAGTGATTGTCTGTTAATCTTGGAATCAGTTTCTGTGCCTTTTGATATTCCTTTTACAAAATGGGGATGGGTACAAACTGGGAAGGTTTACTATAATGTCTACACAAATATTTGGAAAAGAACATGGTGGGGTTTTTTTTTTGTTCCATAAGTTCCAAATAACTTTAATTTTCAAAAATTTAACGATGTCACTATAGATTTTGGGCTGAGAAGTTCGTATGTTATTTTTGAGGATCTAATTCATTTGGTTATGCCACCTATTTTCATTCTGTTCTGGAGCTATGAAAATTATATTTGGAAAGATTAGAATATATATAGATTTCATTCATCCTTCCTAAAACTTCAACCTTCTGGTGAAACAGAAAAATGAAACTACTTAAAAAAACTAATTAAATAATTTGTCTGTGAACTCTGAGAACACACCTTTGAAATGAAATCAGCAATGAGATCTCATAGTTGTGCTTCTGTGTAATTCAGAGTACTATATAGGCATTTTTTGGCTACCATATTTATAAGTGCTAAGAGGCACCATGATGCTGTATTCTAAACTAGTAGGCTTTATATTAAAGTTTTATGTTTAGATGATGCATATTTCAGGCAGTCAGTAGAGATGTATATCATTGTTATTTCTGTTCTCCTGGCCTCCATTAAATAAACTTGCGTAGATTGTAACTTGAATAGGTGATGTTTAATAAACACAAGATATTATCTCAGGATACTGCCTCTTGCAAAAGAAAATAAGTTGGTCAATTTACATGTGGAGTCAGTTTCCCAAATAGTAACATGTTCAGATAGAAGGGATGATGTATGTGATTGAACAGTATAGATTATTGCAAACATGGGAATCAGAGTCAAACCACCTGGTTATAAGGCGGTCACATTCTGTGTCACTACAAGTATTTGAAACACTGTTTTCATCTTTATAAAAACGTAGTAATAATAGCGGCTGTAAGCCTGGTTCTTATATCTGACTTTAACTTAGGTTTAAAGACATTGTTTTCAGGAACTGCACTGTTTTTGTTTGCATTGTGGTGGTTTTTAGCTTATGATTTTGTGTAACTTGCATGGTTGTGTATTTCTCAGTTTCTTGCCTAAGTGTAAATTAGGCTGGCAATAGTATCTACTTCATTGGTTGTTTTTTAAAGATTAATTAATAACAGCCAAAATAATTAATTGAGCTTTCACTGCATACCAGGCACTGTTCTAAGAGCTATAAGCCTGCCACACGGAACAAGCTTAGTAATTTAGATATTGCTACTATTATGTTTTGTGTTAAAGTTATTTATTTTATGTGGCTTCTTCTATTATCATGACCTCACAGCAGTTCTGCATGTAGTATTAGTATGCCCAATGTGCACATGAAAATAGAGATAAAGACATCAAAGTCTTTTAGAGCTGGAATGAATCACTCTAAATTTTTTAGCTTACCTAAAGAAAAATACAGTAATGTTTTGAAAAATGCCACATGTAGTAACAGACTTTTATACCAGCTATTCCTTCCTCATTATTTTACATTTGAGGGAAGTATGGGCCACGGGAGTGACGTAATTTGTTATAATAGGTTAAGAGATTCTCCTAACAGATTGCTGAATTTGGAATTGTAAACATTTCAACATTTTATTTAAGTTTTATTAAGTAAATGGGGCCAAAGAAATATAAATTTTTATGACTTCTGAGCTTTTAGAATAATTCAGATATTTATTGCTCCAATTTTTCCTCTGCAGAAATTGATATCTTAAATAGTTTATCCATGGTTACTTTGTAAGTCCTCTATTCTATAATATGATGGAGACAAGCATGAGCTGTCAATTGAAAGTCTTAGACAAGGTTAAGTCAACTGTTTAAATTCTTATCTCATGTTGTTTTTTCATTTCTTAAAATTAAATGATATTTTTAGCATGTGGTGCCCGTACATTAAAATACAGATTAGAAGTTTAAAATTTGAAGCAATTCTAAGTGTATTCACCCCTTTTATCAACCTGATAAAATACAAAGTTTTTAGTTCAAAGGGAGAGCGAAGCAGGTTCATTTTCCCTAAAGGTGGGACCCTTACCCCCCCCCCCCAAAAAAGCATACTTATGACAGAGTAGTGACTAAAACAATAGCTTTCATGCCTGCTGACTTTCCTCTCAAAATATAGTTATAGTGAAAGCAAAAGCATTCCATCAAAGAAGGGAGTGTTATGACTGTTGCTTTCTCATAGGTTGGACAGGAAAGGCCGTTTTAATATTGTAGAAGAAGAATTTCTGTCCTGATAACCAGGCTCCTGCAAAAGATGAGTTAGTCCTCAACCTGAAAGAGGAGGGCAGCCCCTTTAGTGGTGGCTCTCTGCCATAGTAGTAATGTAAGTAGTAATGTAAATGTATGTGTGTGCACGCATGTGTGCATATGCATGCTTGTTTGATTGCTTGTGTTATCACTTTAAACTGTTCAAGAAAATTATCCTCTTTATGTGAACATGTGTGATTCCTCTGCAATATTCAGTCAATTAAGGGCTTGTCATCCAAGTGGCATGAGGACTGTCAGATGTCTAGAGATGGAGCTGAACAAGCACTCTGGGAAAAAAATAACTCATTAATACTATTTAAAATGTGCAACTAAAACTGAACCATACCACTGTTTTCAAGTATAGCACTAGCAGCTAGTTGAAATCTGTCCATTTACAGTCATGTTGCATCAGACACTTGCATACCTAACTATTCCACAGGACAGTCAAGTGATCCCAGAAAACAGTTATTGTTTGTAAGCTTATTTTTTGGGAAGAATCCCATATAAAGAACACTAAACAATTATCCAAAGCTCTATTCTACATTTACTTCTAAGTATCCATATAATATTTTAATGCCTTTGCTTTATCTTCGAAGAAGTACATTACAGATGCCTTCCAAAACTGGGACAAATGAAGATAATGGGTTTATTAATTAAGGATATTTTAGATTTAAATTCAGTTTTAGAAATCTACCAAATCACAATATGAATGACAAAAATCTCCCTTGTGAAGGCATGTACTGAGTTGTCCACTGTTATGATTTTAAAATATGGGTGATTTTAGTGTTAAGTTGCTTTCAATTATCTAGTCTTGGACAACTTTACTGAAAGATAATTGGTGATTATTCATAATATTTATCTTTAATGTAGAATTTTTCTTTGAGTAGGTTTTTATGTCATAAGCTTTAAATTTTTCATTATTTCAATGATGCTCCAATGGCTAAAATGAATATGAACATGTTTTTGTTTCTATAAATAATGAATATGAACATGTGTCAAGTTTCTATAAATATTGCTGTATATGTTTCTGTGAGGACATAACTCAATATAACTCATCAGTATCTGGTATTGTCAATGTTTTAGATTTTGAGCACACTGATATCTCACTGACATCTTAGTTTATAATTCCCTAAAAGATGACGTTAAACATCTTTTCCTAGGCTTGCTTGCCATTTGTGTATTTTCTATGGTGAGGTGTCTGTTCATGTCATGTGACCATTTTTAGGTCATTTTGTTATTGTTGTTGAATTGTTCTTAGTGCCTTTCTCTTGATATTTTTGTTTCTTTTCCTGGGCACATTATAGGATGCTACTACTCCATTCACTTGAAGTTAGATTTTTGCCATATTATTTGCATTGACAAATGAAATGTCTGAGAAGTAACACACTTCCACATGTGACTTTTAAAAGCCACAGCACATTTCATCTCAGACTCTCATCCGCTACAGTGGTAAAGCCATTAGCCTGTATCCCTGAGTGTGTGTCAAGAACATGTGACCTATGATGAACATTTCATACAAATCAGAAATGAAAATCTCTTCATTCTGTAATAGTTCCAGTTTTTAAAGTAATTTCCTATCTTTCTTATACTAATTGATTATAGTAAGGCAGCACAATTTAAAAATAATAAAGTAAACTTAAAGTAGATTATTATAAAAATTGGGAGGGGATAAGAGAGGAAGGAGAAAGAGGAAGGGTGGGAATGTGAGTGGGTGGTAGGGTAGGGTGGAAAGTTATCACTATATTCCTAAATCTGTATATATGAATTCCAAGAAATTTGTATACCTTAATTAAAATTTAAAATAGATTTAAAAATAATAACATTATTAGATTTTTGTGCTGTGTTTAATATTTTTCCATTCAAAGCACTCTAATTTCTCTTGATACCATCTGTAATGTATAATGAGTAGATGCTTTGATGTCTATCGTCTTTTTTTGTT